TTTGCTGAAACATAATTCACATACCATACCATTCAGCCTTTTAAAGTATAGAATTCAGTGGTTCTTAGTATATCTCACAGAGTAGGGCAACCCTCACCACTATCTAGTTCCAGACCATTCTCACCACCCCAAAAAGAAACCCATCACCCATCAGCCCCTGCCCTTGTCAGCGGTTGCTCCCAGCCCGGCCCCTCTCCTGGCTGCCGCCACTAGTCCACAGTCTGTCTCTGTGGCTTTGCTTCTTTGGGACGTTTCCTATCAGTGGGATTAGACACCCTGTGGTCTGTGTCTGGCTTCTTTCACTCAGCATCATGTTTTCAAGGTTCATCCACGTCGTAGCAGCCCTTCACTTATTATTATTTTAAAAAATCTCATGTGGGTATCAGCATTTGCCATCTGTACAGTCTTTACAGGTACAGTTCAGGGACATTGACTGCACTCATCACGGTGTTCAATATTTCATTTCTTTTTATCATCAAACAATATTCAATTGTACGGCTATACTGCATCTTGTTTATCCATTCATCAGGTGATGGTCATTTGGGTTGTTCCCAGTTTGAGGCTATTATGAATAATACTTCTGGGATTATCTGTGACAAGTCTTTGTCTGGACGTATGTTGGTATTTCTTTCATCTAGAAGTTTCTAGATTGTTCTCTGGAAAGAACTCGGAGGATCAGACCGCTTAAGGAACCTGCCCAGGGGCACAGAGTAACAACCTTTTATACTTTCTGAGGTTTTAAAAGAGTGTTTACTTGAATGGATAAGCACAAATGCAGTCCGTCCACACAATGGAATATTACTCAGCCATGAAGAGGAATGAATTTTTGATAGATGCTAGGATGTGGATAAACCTTGAAAACATGAAGCTGAGTAAAAGATACAAGATGCAAGGGGCAAACGCTGCTTTGGAAGAGTGTCATCAATGTCCCTGAATCATACATGCGCAAATTGTTGAATTAATTGGTGAAGATTTTGTTGGATATATTTTTTACTGCAATTAAAAAAAAAACGTACCTACTTGGGTGCATTTTTTTAAGTTTAGTTTTTGGGGTAAAAAAGGGAGCAAAGAGTGAGCGGTGTGAAGTAAGACAAAGTTTTGGCCTCCCCCCATTCTGTTTTCGCTACAGGGGCAAGCAAGGTGTGGAGAAGCCACTACTTCCTGCCATTACTCAGGGGCCTCTTACCTACCCCACTGCCTCTGGCAGGGCCCAGAGGCAGCTGGATTTGGTGTCCTTGCTCCTTGTCCTGCTCTGGGCCTCATTTTTTTTTTTT